GGTACCTATTCGATGGGTGCATTTTGTAGTTTTGTATCTGGGGATACCATTTCGAAATACCGGTGGTTACAGATTGTAGGTATATAGCTAACTACAAAACAACAACAAATCTAAAGCTAGTTAATGGCTACATATCATAGATTTTAGCTTGCGGAGTACCACAAGGGTGAATACTAGAAACATAATGACAATACTCAAACTTAACGAGATTTATGTTTGCCGGTGACACTAGCTTTTTTCTTATTTAGCAATAACCTTATAAAATTACCTTACAGTATGAGTTCTAAACTTGTTGAAAACTTAAAACAAAAAAATTGTCAATAGTTATTGAAAAAATAATTTTTTTTCTACCCAGCTTTAAACTTATTCCAAACATTATGCCTTTTATTTTTATTGATAATATTGAAATAAAACGAACATCGATAAAAGTACCTTAAAATTAAAAAAATTTTAGGCACCTGTATTGATAAAAATCTCACACAGAAAAATCTTGTTTTAATTTAAATAACAAAATTGCTAGAACTATACAATTATTATACAATTTGAGGAGTTTTTTTAAATAAGTGTAGTCTAATTCGATGTAAAATTATTAATTTAACCATTTTTTCATATGCCTTAAGACAAAATTTAAATAATTTAACCATATTTCATATGCCTTAAGATAAATTAAATAAAACACAATAAAAGTTACATAAATTTAAACATCAAGAATAAACCAATAAAGACTAATTACTTTACTGTCTCCTCTCTCCTGAACAATTTTAAAATGTGACAACCGACCTTTGACTTCTGAGATATCAACTTAACGTTTATAACTTTTTATGTATAAATATAAAATCAACAGTTCCCACTCTCCCCATTATAATTTACACACATTAAAAGAAGAAAGTAACTACGAAATGTAAATAAAATATCTACGAAAAAAGTTATGAAAATGAATTAAAGTATCTACGAAATGAAAATTTTATTTAACTTCAACTTTTGCATACTAATTTTGGTAAATCTCCTTTTTTATTTCAAAGAGCCTTCCTATGGAATATTTTAACTTTTCACAAATATTTTGACCTTTCACAAGAATGGAATTATAACTAATTTAAGAGAAAACTTGATAAAATTACTTAGTCAGTTGAACACATTTTTATACTTAATACCGCCTCCATGTATTTTTGTGTACATATTCTTAAAAGTGTATTTGTATTTTTGTATTTATGTATGTGTAGATATGTATATATGTGTATACGTATATAAGCTTTTGACTAACCCGCTTTTCTGTCTTCATAACTGACCTGTTTGTATATTTTTTAAAGTTGAAAAACGAAGGACAAGCAAAAAGAACTCTTCACAAAGTAGTATTTATCAATTGATAAGTTAAATTATAATAACAATAATGAACTAAAAGTGGTTGAAAGAAATACTGCATAGGCTGAACTGAGCATTTAGTTTAGCTTGTTCAGACACTTTTAAAATATTTAAAAAAAAAAAATTAAAAATGGAAAAAAATACAATAACGCTATTAAAAGAGTCTATTTACACGAAAATATCAAAAATGTTTAACCACGCAAAAATATCAAAAATGTTGACCCACAAAGTATAATTGAATACCAAAATGTACAAATATACAATAAGAAAATAAAACTTAAAAACTAAAGTGTGTCAACTGTAAAAAACGATGAAATTTACATCCAAAAATTATGATAGTCTGACGAAGATTCCAAAACTTTTTTAACATTACAAAAACTGTAAAAAGAAAAAAAAAAAAAAACAAGAAACAATATTTATATAAAAACTAATGAAATGAACAGTTATTCACTAGATATATAGATATATAGTAGCTTTTTTGCTAGTTACTATAATATAGAGTAATTAGTAATATAGAGTAATTAGTAATATAGAGTAATCAGTAATATAGAGTAATTAGTAATATAAAGTAATTAGTAATATAGAGTAATTAGTAATATAGAGTAATTAGTAATATAGAGTAATTAGTAATATAGAATAATTAGTAATATAGAGTAATTAGTAATATAGAGTAATTAGTAATATAGAGTAAATAGTAATATAGAGTTATTAGTAATATAGAGTAATTGGTAACATAGAGCAATTAGTAATATAGAGTAATTAGTAATATAGAGTAATATAAGCTAGTTACTATAATATAGCTATAGTCACATAGCAAATATAGAATTGTCGTTATATTATAACGACATTTCTATAGTTATGTGACTATAGCTACACTGACTTCTAAAACTAAAATTACTTCTTAGGAAACACGATTAAATTAATAAACCTTCATTTGTAGATAAAAATTATGTTTTTTCAATTTAATTTTGAAAAATCATTTTTATTAAATATCATTAAGAAAATTTCTCATAATATTTTTATCTTTAATACTTTAGATTTGGAGTACACAGTATATAAGTATATACACACCGCGTGTTTTAGAGATTTTATAACAATATGTTTTTAGCTACATATTGTAGCTTGCTAAAACATAAAAAAACATAAAAAAAACACGATATTTTGTATAACTATTTTATTCAAAAGATACGGAATAAAATAGTAAAAATCTATTGTGCTTAATTTTCCAAGTATCTTATGAAATGTTGAAAGTATTGATACTAGTCTGAAATTGCCTGTTTCACTTGAATTTCAGTATAGGTTTTATTTTAGTTTTAAGCAAAAATACTGTCTTACAGAGAGTCTTTAAATATTTTCTATGAAGGAATTCTAAACTGATTGTAGCAGTTAATTATTACGTTGCTATTGACATTGTCAATTATAAAGCCGAGAAGTTGTACTGACAAATCCAAAATATCTCCAAGACTAGAATTGTGAAATCACTGATTAAGAACATAAAAAACTAATTAAAATTTTTATTACACTTTCTATTGTGATTTACAAACTGCCTTAATGCAGTTAATGAATCACAAAATTTTGATAAAATCACAGAAAACTTTGTTTTAATCGTCATGGTGTTAGTTATGAATATTATCGTATATATACGATAATATTCATAACTAACAAGCAAGCAAGCTTTGGTAGCTAGCTACCTAATATTAATTGAAGTTGTTTTATTTCAATAAGCCTCTGTTTTTTAGTTATAATTAACTATTAAAAAATTTTAGTTATATATAACTATAAATAAAAAACTCTGTTTTTTAGTTATATATAACTAAAAAATAGAGGCTTATTGAAATAAAACAACTTCAATTAATATAAGGTAGCTAGCTACCAAAGCTTGCGTGGTATGACTAGTGTGATCAATCCTGATAACTTTAACGCTTGCACATTATGTGTCTTCTGAAAACTATAATTTCCTCTCACAAATCCTACATTAACTGATACTAATTAAATGATCACATTGACTGATCATAATTGGATGATCACATTAACTTATTCTAATTAAATGATCACATTACCTGATCCTAATTTAAGAGCGATAATTATCTTTTATTTATTACTTTATAAAGTTTTTTTGAGGATTAAAAAGGTAGTTGTTTTAATAAATGTTTTACATAAATAAAAAGTTTTCATAACAAACTTAGGTATTTTCAAATTTTATGGGATGAATTTAGTTTCTCCAGAAACTAAATTATCCCATAAAATTTATAAAAAATGAAAAAGGATAATTATTAAAATTTTCAAAATTTTGTAAAAGAAACCTTCTTTTACAAAATTTTGAAAAAAAATTATTTTGTAAAATCTATTATTTTATTATGTAAAATCTATTATTTTCTGTAGTTAAAAAACTTTAACCACATTAGTTTTGTATTTTTACCGAAATTTTCAAATAAACAAGTGAAATTAGTTAGAAACTTGAAAAAGCTTTTCAACGTCGATGCTCTATTAAGGCGTTTTTATCATTGATGCTAACAAGATGTATCCACAGAATATTGTCACTAAAAACGCGTTTTTAGTGACAATATTATCGAACTCTTTAAATCATTGAGAAGATAGAAAAGTCGAGAAGCGTAAATATCTTTTAAAAAAGATAGCAAGTTTTTTTTTTTTAATTTTTTACATATTCAGCTGTAAAATTTAATTAAAGAAAAAATCATATTTCTGCATATAAAAAAAAATTAAAAACTAAAAAAAAAAAAAAAAATTGCTAAGTATTAAATAACAAAATGAGTATAAAATAAAAACGTACACAATATTCTTGTTTTTAGATTTCATTTATTTTAATTTTATTTTAGGTGCAAGTTTTCAACAAACCTCATATTTTACAAAAGTAAAAAATTATTAAACTATACCTAAAACATACCAAAATGTATATTAAAAATTTAAAATCAAGGGGCTTACAATTTTTTAAAATTAAAAACAAAAGCGCTTTTTAGGAAAATTTGAAAAATTTACATAACCTTCTTCTTTCTCCTTTTCTTCTTTCTCCTAGAATCTTTGCTAGATCCTAGGACTAGTGATTGGACCAAAATTCTGTTTCGGACAAAATTTCAATTTAAAGCAATACCGAAATTTAGGATTTGATACTTTTTACAAATTTCGAAAGAAGCAAAATTTCGGTTGAAAAACATACCGAAAACCGAAAATTTTTAGTGATTTTAAATTTTTATTTAAATTTAGAAAAATAGTTTTTTTGACAGTTTTAACAAAATGTATATTGTCATTTCTAATCGAAACATTTAGGCCCATTGTTACTAAATATTAGGCCGATTGTTCCTAAATTATTTAACCTTTTGGTTAGTAAATATCACGTTCGTATCCAGATGCTTCTTAAAAATATCAAAACCGCAAATAAACAAACCGTTTTAGTGCGCATAACATTTTGAATCTTGCACTAATAACGTTTAAAGAAAACAAATCTGGTTTAAATAGTTAAAGATAAAAATTCGTTGATGTAATTTTTTTGTTATTTTTATAAACTTTTCTGAGTTATTTTATTTTTATTTATGACTATTAATTTATTATTATCATTATAAAAATGGATTGAATTCATAAAAAAAAAAAAAACTACAATTGTAAAAAAAAAATATCTAATTAAACATTTTCTAATTAAATTATTGTTTTTAAGCCGAAATTTCCGTTTTAGTTTTAGTTTCAGTAAAATGTTTGACGAAATGTCGGTTTCGGTTTTGGTATTGAACTAGTTTACCCTAAATTTCGGTTTATTTCGGTTTCGGTCGATCACTACTACCTAAGACCTAGTTAGCCCCCCACCCCCTTCCCTACACCCTTTTTATATGCATTATTATATTAGTTATAAATTTTGGACAAATGAGACATTTGTTCGCTATTCCAAACTAAATCGCCGGCAATAAATGTAGCGTGAACGTTTAATTGATCATCAAGAAAAATAAAGTCAGCATCGGTATCAAAATCTAATGTTCCTTTACGGTCTGATATTCCAAGTAATTGCGCTGGATGTAATGTTGCGGCTTCAATGGCTTCAACAAGTGAGCAATCTATAAATACGAGAAATTTTAGAAATTTTGATTTTTACATTCATAAAATATTTATTTCTACCAGTAATCCTTCATTATGCAATAATGCATTGCATCATTTTGCGGTGTTGCTGACTTATTTAATACAAATAAATCATTTAAATATTTGTTGACACATTTTTACATTTTTGATAAAAATTTTATTATAACTTAAGACGTATGAATTTGTTTCATCTACTTTTTCAGTTTTTTTTTAGTTTATCTAAATTCACACAAAATAAAATTAAAAACAACATCATATTGCAAACTTGTCAATATAAAGTAAAAAAGAATAAAACATTACATTTACATGCAAGTTAAAAAATCTGTAGGGGAGTAAGAGTATCGGTTCACCTCCGTGTTACTATAACAACTTCGCTGAACTAACTATAAATTCTTTGTATAGAGTTGAAATAAAACACATGACATAATAAGGTAGAATGGGGCAGGGCTCTCTTTTAAGACTTGTTCGATAATTGAAATTTATGTTTACATATAAAAAGTAGCTTGTATAAAAACAAATTGAAAATAATTTAATATATGTATCTTGTATTAATATGGTTTAAAAAAAAAACTAGCTGCCGATAAAATTCCCTTTAATGTCTACTTTCCTAAAGTAATAGATGTATCACTTTAAAACAAAATTCTAATTTCTGTTATCTGTATCCAAATATCCTCAAATCATTATTTTCATTACGATATCCTCAAATCATTATCTTTATTAAGATATCCTCAAATCACTATGTTAATTAAGATATCCTCAAATCATCTCTATTACAATATCCTCAAACTATTATCTCTATTAATATATTATCAAATCACTACTATCTTCAACAAGATATCCTCAAATAGTATCTTTACTAAGATACCTTCAAATTACTATTATATCTTCATTAAGGTATTCTTAAGTTATTATTATCTCCATTACGATACCCTCAAATCAACATTATTTTCATTAAGATATCCCTAACCTACTATTTCATTTCATACACAAAATTCAATATCATTTATCATAAAAACTAATGATTTTTGTGTTTGTTTTGCTCACTACTTCAAAAGCATGAATGTGTGTGTACATCATAGATATGAATGTTTTTTTTTTTTGTTAATTCACCTCCTCAAGGCCGAGAAGGCCACTACAGACGAGGAGGCTAATTATTTGTAGTTATAACCCTCTTTCAACTCGTTAACTCCGAAAAACGAACCTTGACAAACAATGCCGTTGCGCGATAAAACAAGTTGAGCGCGGTACTACCAGGGACGTGGTGGGGATCAAACTCGGAACCACTCGCTTATGAAGCGAGCGCTCTACCACTACACCACAACCACATGTGTGTGTACATCATAGATATGAATATGTTTGTACATCATAGATATGAATGTGTATGTACATACAGCACACATTCAGTGTGCAGAAGAGTCACCAGTAACAGGAATGAAGCAGCAGCTAATGGTTTAGTGTTTTTTTTAATTTTAATTCACCTCCCCAAAGCTGTGAAGGCCACTACAGTTGCAGAGGCTACTTTAGTTGTGGTAACCCTCTCTCAACTCTATAACTCTGAAACACAAACCTTGAAAAACAAAGCTGCTGCGTGGAGAAACAAGTTGAGCGCAGTACTACCAAGGACGTGGTCGGGATCGAACTCTGAACTTCTCGCTTATGAGGCGAGCTACCACTACATCACTACCGCATTACAATTAGTTACCATGTCTTCATCTTCCTTAGTAGCGCTATAGCTTATTAGTGTCTCTCCTAGCATGCAAACCATTTGCCGCCACCTTGATGTTAATTTTAGATTGAAGCCATATAAGCCAACATCAAAGCCTTGAATCTTGTAAATGGTACAAAACATGGACAACCAAAGATTGGCATAAAATTATGATTTGTCTGAGCAGCAAAATAGTTTAATAGATATAAAGCAGCCAAATAGTTAATAGATACTAAACAGGGGTTCATAGAACAAGTTACTAGCATTAAAATTGCCTCTACACTAAACTAAACACCTGATGAAGGTAATGTTTCGGAGATCTTATTTCGCGGTTATCTTTAAATAATGCCAGCAGTAACAATTAATGCAGTTGCTTATATATCCATATAAAAAGAGCTGCCACAAGTACATCTAATAATAGTAAAACCAATACTGGAATATCTGATTACCTGACTTTTTTTGGCAGCTAAACACTTGTATTGTGTTGGCTCAATCCAATATTTCAATATTAAGAAAATACTTTAAAAATTTCAAATTGTTTTAAAAAAAATATTTAAAAGCATTGCTTTTTTATAAGAATATAAATTTTTCATTTGACGAATATAAAACTTTTAATGGTTTTGCATGACTGATTTAATCCAAACTAAAATTTTATGAAATTTATATCATCTAAATTTAATTTTTACCGATTTTTATTATTTAACTTGTGTTTAAAAAACCACGAGCCTCTTCACCACATAGTTGCTATGGTTACCATATAACTGTAGTAACATTTAATTAAAAAAACTATGCATTTGGAATTAAGAACCAATTATTAGATCTAATTAGATAAAACTAAAACCCAATTTTTATTCTGCATTTCAAGTCAACTTGAAAAGTGCAAAAAATATGAAAAATAAAATTGCATGATCGCAATACCAGTGGACTTCTAAAATACACATTTAAAAATAAACTATAAAATCAACTTGTAAAGGTGCAAAATTCCCCCAGCATTGCCATCATCTTTCTTTTCATCTGTTAATCAACTTTCTTTTCATCTGTTAATCCTCTAATCACTGATTTCTTCTAAATTTAAAATGACAACTTATTGCATGTAATTTTTTAAAATGACTGCTTATTGCATGCAATTTCTTCTTGAATTACTGCGCTTGACAGACTGCACCGAGCATATTTTTTATATTACGGTCTGATATTCCAAGTAATTGCTAGAACCTTGTGGGTTCTAGCAATTTTCTCAGTTTAGTTGATGTCAAACACCATCAGAGAGATGGTCATATCTAAGTTTACTTGATTACAATCACAAGGAATGCAATTTAGTTTGACATCTGATAACTGGATGTAAGCTGAAAATTGCAGGTATTCAAATGTAAACATTGTGTTTGCACACAATGCTAGATCATTCAATAAAGCTGAGAAATTGCATTTACAAGTTGCTGATTAAATTTGAGTCCAAAATTGAGATAACAAAGAATGTAACAACACAATTTTATCTGTTGTGGCACCTTTCAGGTTAGTAAAATAAACCATAAAAGCATTATGCCCAAATGTTTCATAAAATATTGTTGCTTATAATAACCTTGGTGACACAGATTTAGTTCTTTAACCAAAAGGTGTGTTGCTGTGATGAATGAATTAGCAAAAAAGAACATTTTCTTGCTTAATAGACCATCTGCACAAGAGCTATCATCAATAAAAGAATTAAAATCTAGCATTTTTTTGCCTCATTTAGTCAAACTATGGCAGATAAGCCCTAGTTTGACTAAATGAGTGGATCAATTAGCAAGCAAACGAATCTCTTCTTTCCGCCAGTATTTCATCTAATACAATTCTGTTCTTCAAACTTGTGATTAAAAAGAATTTGCTATAAGCAATAATGTAATGTATTGCTATAAGCAATAATGTAATGTATTGCTATAAGCAATAATGTAATGCATTGCTATAAGCAATAATGTAATGTATTGCTATAAGCAATAATGTAATGTATTGCTATAAGCAATAATGTAATGTATTGCTATAAGCAATAATATAATGTATTGCTATAAGCAATAATATAATGTATTGCTATAAGCAATAATGTAATTAGCAACTTTGAATGATAAGAAGAGTAAAATAATTTAACATTTCAAAAGAAACTAAAACAAATATAAAAACAATTATCAATGAAATTGCAGTTTTTAAAAACAAAGTAACTTGTGAAACATATTTGCAAAACTTTTACAAGTATTTGAAAACTGTAAAAAGTTTTGTTTTTAAACATCTTTGCTTCCAACAAGGCTACAAGCAACCACTATTAGAGTTGGAAGATACTGGAAGAGAAAAGATGAAGATTGTAGACCAAGAAAACGATTGACAGACAACTTAAAAGATTGCAAATTATATAAATCAGGAAAGCAAGGTGAAGGAAGCGAATTCCAAAGAACTGATGTTCGTGGAAAAAAACTAGAAGAGTTTTTAGAGCAATTAATTTTTGGAGCATTTAGGAACAGTCACAGAAAAAAGATGAGACTTAATTGAATGACGAGTAACACAAGAAGGAATTTTAATAGATGGCACAAGAGATGCTAGCTCTTTAGAACAGTGCCCATATTAGTATTTGTAGAAAAGAGAAAGAGAAACAACATTATGACGATGTGATAATGGTTGGAAGTTGGCTGCAAGAGCATGTCAAACTATGCTTACAATGCCTTTGTGGACCTTGGCTTAAAGAGAAAGGACATCATTAGAAGATCCACCACAGATATGGCAACAGTATTCCAAATAAGGCCGGATTTGAGATTTACAGACAGAGAATAGAATCCCGAGTAAAAAAGTGTCCAGCTCGATAAAGAGATGCAACCTTAGCAGATCCCAAGAAAGATCTGAAGTAAGAGATAATCCTATAAGAGGAAGAGTAGATGACTCATCGAGTATATTACCTTTCAAAAATATAGGAAGACCTAAATTATTGCAACAATGATTAAAAAAAATTGAGTTTTATCTGAATTAAAGTTCACCAGCCACTGTGAGCCCCATACTGAAGTATAAGTGAGATCCTCTTCAAGCTCAGACACCCCCTTCAAGCAATCAGAGAGTGTTGGCTACTTATTGTGACAAGAATAAATGGTAGTATCATCAGTAAACAATGCCACCTTAGATGTGAGAATATCTGGAAGATCGTTAATGTAAATTAAAAAGAGTTTAGGGCCAAGGATTAAACCTTGAGGAGCCTCTGAAGTTAAAAAAAATGAAGAAGAGTACTGTCCATCAAGAACAACTTTTATACTACAATTGGAA